GACCTTACTTTGGTTGCCTGTCAGTTTCTGTATTATTTTAAAATTCTTTAACTTGGTTTAAAGAAATTCGTGGAATTGCTTCAGTATTTATGGCTCGTATACTTAGTCTGAAGCAGTATGACTCTTAATGTCCTCTGGCACAAGTCCTTCAGTTGTTCCAAAGTGCAGAAGAAAAACCTTCAGCGAGACAGCTTTTAGCATATTTTTTTTTGCCCCAAGTCAGTGTGCCAGAGGATCTGAGAGCAGCTGGAAGTCTTTAAAAAACAAAAGTACCTCTTTATGCTGGCTTTTTAGTGTGGTTTATAGAAATTACTTACCTCATTCAATTTGCTTATTTAATTTTATTTATATATATTTTTAGAATTATTAGAATTATTATTATTAATTATTTCTGGTAATATATTTTTTATTTTTTTTACCTTGAAATCCTTTAATTCACATTTTCAGTTATTTTTATATTCACTTTATGATTTTTTTTATTTTTTTATTTTTTTATTGAGGGATTGTTTTATTGTGTGTGAGAGCATAAATAACATTAATTATTCTTGCGCTCTTATTTTCTTTCATTCTTTTATTAGATTGGTTTCAAGCTTTAATTACTAGTTTGTCAATAACCTGTGAAATGCTTTGATCTGGACTAACCTGTGCATCTGGTGAACTGACAGCTGCTATATAAATGTTTAAGTCATCCAGTAGTGTGGAGATCACAATGACTGTCCTGTTTGTGGACTGACAGCACTGCAAAGATGCCCTTTTTATAACAGTTTTGTGAGTTCGGGGAGAGGCTGCGTTGGATTATCTGGGCCTTACAGTTGCTCCTGCTGAATGATTCACATGTCATTGTTCTGCTTTTGTATACTATGTTCAGAGGATCTATTAATTTGAGGATCAGTCAGCCACTGGAACCCCATTGAGAGTGTAATCAATCCACTTACACGCTGCACAGCCATGACCAAAGCTGAGCTGCCTGCAAAAATGCTACATGTATACTATGTGTGTGCATGTACTATATCTATAGATTTTGACTTAATGTAATTATTACACTGACTGAATCACAAAATATGTGTTGGATTCAAGCTCAAGCATTTTACTAAAGTAAAGAAAAGTGTGTGTGTGCATGATACTGATTACAAATTAAAAGGCAAAATGCCACGATCTGCCAGCAGTCCCAAAAATCACTGATCTGGCAAACACTCCCTTCCTTACAAAGCATCTAGTGAACTATGTTTAAACCAAATTGGGGCAAAAGCAACCAAGTAGCAAATGACTTAGTACTGCTGCTGGGTGTTTTTGTATCAGAGTGAATCAGAGGTGTGGACTCGAGTCACATGACTTGGACTCGAGTCAGACTCGAGTCATTAATTTTATGACTTTAGACTTGACTTGAAAAAATGTTGTAAGACTTGTGACTTGACTTGGACTTTTACACCAATGACTTGGGACTTGAATTGGACTTGAACCGGTTTACTTGAAAAGACTTGATATTTTACCCCAAATATAAAATTTAACATGCATATTATATAGAGATTGAAAATGTGACGTCATTCACGGGTAGAACCGCAAAGGATTCTGGGAACTCGTGGCAAGCGGTACTAGCGCACGCAGGCTTTCAATTGAAATCAGTCACACAGCGATAAAAAGAAACACAAAAATGTCAAGAAGCTGTTGTATTATTAACTGCAATAGCCGGTCGCATGACAGCCACGGGAAGCCGACGGGTAAAGAGATCGGTTGTTATCGGATTACGTCGTTGAAGAGAAATTGTTCGAGCCATGTTTCCGAAGTAATAAAGAGGCGACTGGATTGCAGCCATTCAAAGACCAATTATAACGTCCCAGAACACTCCAGCTCACAGGTTAGTCTGCTCCAAGCATTTACACACAGGTCAGTCTGCTGTTGTAGTTAATGCGTCATTTTCATAACATAATTGATGATATAGGTTACAAGCAAGTCTGGCGCTGAACAGAAATTGTCGCGCTATGCTCCTTTATTTATTGTGCATAAATAGTGAATTGTCCTGACACAATATTGCGTTTCGCTTCTGTTATTATGGTACATTGACAAAAACATATACTTTTATTCACAGAATAAAACAGTTGTTTTGTATCACTAATTGTCCAGTGCGATTACAGCATACAATATTATTGTCACTGCTACATTTCTGTAAGGCGTACCAGAAATTATTTCCACTACTAATTAATTACCCTTGAGCTCAAAGGTTATATTAATAAACGGTTAACGATTGTGTATTTATGACGACGATTTGTGAGACTGGTAAACTTATGATACGTACGATGGTCTTTACTTTCTACACGGTGCATTTCAAGGTCCTGCACCCATCCGTCGGTAAACTGTACCTGGGCTTGTTGCAGTGACCGGAAGTTACTAAACTTCACGAGTGTATGCACTCACTCCAAGAACCGTATAATTATAAATATGCATATAAATATGCTACGATGAGATAGCTGACTTCATCTAACTAGCAAATGTTGTCCAGGCTACGTTGGTGATGCAGTTTTTTTAATGTATATGATATTTTGTCATGCGATTTTAAAGCCGGTGTTGTGCCAAAAAGTGATTGTCTGCCAAAAAGTGATTTCCAGTGTTTCTGTGTATTTTTATGTGTAATATCTTTACGTATGTTCGTAAATAGACTTCGGTGAACAGGGGATACAAAGGGGTTACATAAAGAATTAAAAAATTATCTGTTTTTTAAGTATCTTTACAACTTGTACTTACATTATAACCGGTCCTTTATCCCCACTTAAAATATTTTACAGAACTATTGTAATATTGCTGCCATTTCTGCTGTCCTGTTGGGCAACTTACTCTTACAAAATACATTTTAATGTTAATGAGATTTTTTTTACTGCATAAATAAAGGTTATATAAAAGTCGCTGCCAAAAACTGATTGCGGCTTGTATCTTGCTACACGAATGTTGTTTGTGGCTCAAGATGACTTTATGTCATCCATAAGGGATGCATTTGACATATGTTTAACATATTATAGCCCAACAAGTTACTTATAGCACTTTAAATATGAGCAATCGCTTTTGGCAAATACCGGAAATCAGTTTTTGGCAGACAATCACTTTTGGCACAACACCGGTCCTACAACCGCATCCAAGAATAACATGCAGCTTATCTCAGAACTGTCGGTGAAAATTATTCTTGGAGCTAGGTTTAATTGAGCTGCATTTTAAAGAGGTGCAATTTCACAATTTGTGTATATTTTCTAAGTTCACTATTTGTCATGTGTTGAGAAAAACACAGATTTAAAAATTACATGGTCTAATATTTACATTTAGCATAACTGCAACATACTTTTTTTTTTTTTTTTTTTTAAAGACTCTAAAGGACTTGAAATTCAAAATTTCAGACTTGTGACTTGACTCGGACTTTACACCAGTGACTTGAGACTCGACTCTGACTTGCCTGACATTACTTGAGACTTGACTTGAGACTTGAGACTTGCAAAACAATGACTTGGTCCCACCTCTGGAGTGAATATATTGCAGTGTTATGCTGTAAAGTGAGTGTAAGGTTGTGCAGGAGTGCATGTAGATTGGGTGTAACATTGTGGTACACTTTTACTCGCAGCATGTCTTATCAAACCTGCAAAACTGCAAGCCTTGCCACAATTGCATATATGTGAGTGGGTAGCTCATACCAAATATCGATTTTCCATCTCATTAGAATTTTATATTGCATACCGTACAATTTGCACATGTTTCAATAAATCATTGCACCATTTTCCCATTTTCCTGGAAAAGAAAAAAGACATAAGCAGTGGCTCAAGCCTTTTGCCCTGTACTGTATAATATTTGATTTCAATACAAAACTGAAGTGAAATTACTTAGTCTGAGCAATAACTCTCACCTGTCTGTCTTCAGTAAGATTTAAATAGCTTTAGAAATAAATGTTGAGGAAGTAAATGTCAGATTTTTTAAAAATGTTTTTTACTGGATATAACTAAAAAAATAAAAACAGAAACCATTAGACAGAGCATAAACATATAACTACAACTAACACAACACTACACTATACCAGCTGCCTTGCTTTACTGACCTCCTCATTTATGATCCAGTCTTTTGAACACATTTGCAATTTATTAACAAAACATTCTGGTTAATTTGTGCGTTTTGGCTTAAAATAACTTTTTAAAGTTAAGCTGATGTTCTCAGGAACAGGATGCACAGTTGAGTTGGACCACTACAGAGTCCTTGGGTATAGCAGTGTATGTAATAGGCTGCCCAGTGGTGTCATTTCTTTTCATTAGGAACATTTAGGTTGGGTTTTTCAGGAACATTCAATAATGTTCACTGTTAACACATTTCAGAAAGTTATGCAAATTTTCTCTATTTTTGCTAAAGAATTGAGCAGTGCAAATGACTTTTCATTAGTAGATGTGTAGACATAATTATATACAGATACACACAGATAGACATTCCTACTCCACAGACAGTATTTAACAGCATTAATAAGACCTTTGCGTCATGTGACTGCTCTCAAAGGGACTGGGACTCCTTCCCAGGAGTAAAGGATGTGTGTGACTGCATTCCTTCACAAGACATTTGTTCTGGTGGAATGCTTTAAAAGGGGGCACAGATTCTCAAGTTGAAGGCCATTTGGTCCTGAAAGTCATCTGAATACATTTACATTGACTTGACATTACATGATTTACATACATAAAAGATGGAGAAATAAGTGCTTCAGTTTCAAGATGTAAACATTTCATTAGACAAATCCATATTTGTTCATTTTGGGGCATCTTTACAGAGGTGAATAGTGATAACTATGTTATAAATTGTTTAATAGTGTATCTGAATGTTGTGTGTTTCTGTGTCAGGTTGCTTGTGCTTTAATGTATCATGTATATTTTGTTCATCAGCTTGCATTTCCTCCATCTGCACATATGCATTTGCAGCTCTGCATCAATGTGTTTACCACAATGTATATGTGCAAATGCATAAGGAGTGTTTGAGAAGGAGTGACTCACCAGTTCCTTCTTCTTCATGCACTCCATGAGAATGATGAACAGATGTTGAGCCTGTGAGCGGCTGTAGGTGAAAGTCTTCTGAATGGTCACCAGCAACTGGTCTCTTAGAGACTCATTAATTATGCTGCAGAGGCAGAAAGGTGTGGAAAAAGAAAAGAGAGTATCAAGAACGGGGCCAGAGTGACAGGAAAACAGGCAAATTATATCAGAAGGTTAAACCAAGGCTGACTGGAACTCTTAGCTACCAAATCTCTTGAGTCTTTGTTGAAATACAAATTCTCACATTTGTGTTTTATTAAAGCAAGTTTCATTTTTTTCCCAAAGTTTCTGCATACAAACTCACATAAATATTCAAAGATATTTTGATCTAAAACAATCCCTTGACATCTACAGTGCATCCAATTTTTTCATACGCTATTCATGCTTGCCGTTCCACTCCTGTAAAATGTGTACATGTGAGTGCCTACCCTCCCTCCTCTGAGTATTTATGTCCGAAGGCCAAGATGTCAGAGGCTCTGCCGCTGCCGTCGCACACCACCACAGGAACTGGAGGAGTGTCCCTGAGGTACTCCAGCACTATAGAGATCACATTAGGACCCCCTTCTACGATCAGTGCCACCACTGGCACACCCTGACCGATACCTACACGTGAAAACAAGTGGCAGCAGGAGAAACAGGAGGGTAAAGAGTGAAAGAATAAAAGAACAAAACAGAAATATAGCTACAAGCAGCCATAGGCAGCCAAGCAGTTCAGCTTAGCTATGAACTCCATGTAAATATGTACAGTATAATTATAGTTAAAGCGCTGTAAGCACTGATTTGGTAGTCAAATGAGGCTTTCAAGAAAAAAAAAACTTCAGGCAACAATATATATATATTCAGTTTAGTGTCAGCACATAAAAACAATGTTTGATATATGATCACGCTTCCTGTTTGGTTTCCTTTTTCGACGGTTTCAAAATCTAATAACCATGTGATATGCTTTCTGACTATAATCTGTACGGTGACCCTGAGAGGTCAAAAGCACTGCAACTTCAGAAAACACCCAGAAATAGAAAAAAGCTGCAAAAGCACATAAAACACAATGGGAGTTGAATAAAACAAAATCTCACAAAGTACAATGGAAAAAATAATTTTTAGGGTGATGTTAATGTGACTGTGGAAGTGACAGAAACCAAAGCGTGTGAAGGACTGCACTGAGTCAAGCTTAAAGGAAAAAAAGACTCATATATCAATGAAGACTCAGCCCTGGAACCTCTGGTACCAGAACTATTTTTAAGGCTAATACCAACACATGCTGCAATTTCTTTGTGCTTCCTCAAATAGGGTCTTTTTGCCTTTAAACCATTTTAAACCATTTAGTTTAACTATCGGTGTGTATTATCTGGCTTCATGGATAGATAAAGCTGGGTATCATTTGAATACCAGTGTGGATGTATGCTATGCCTTCTAATGATAATGCCTAGAGGAAAAAGAAAACATCCATCCATCCATCCATTCGCTTCCGCTTGTCCTTTTCAGGGTCGCGGGGGGCGCTGGAGCCTATCCCAGCTGTCATAGGGCGAGAGGCGGGGTACACCCTGGACAGGTCGCCAGTCTGTCGCAGGGTGCATTTTTGAAATGAGTAAACATTAATTTTATTTTTGTTCTTTTTTTTATTTTTTTATTAACAATATGATGAATATGTTTATAGTATATATATAAAAGAAAACATGTAAACTGTAATCAGAACTGGTCCCAGCATGGAACCCTGTGGAACTCCATAATTAACCTTAGTGTGTGAAGAGGATTCTCCATTTGAAAGAACCACTTGGAGTCTGTTAGATAGATCTACCAAGTTTGGCACTGGCAGAGGACAAAAGCTGTCTTGCTTCTTAGACAGCTTGGCTGGGAAGAGCTTTTAAAAAACAAAAATCCATATTATAACTTTTATGTGATTTGGTATGAAGATCATGTGTTCCCAGTTTGATAAGACTGAATTCAGTTAAATTCTTTATGAAAACCAATATGGCAGACATTCACACCATATTATGCTTTGAGCTTTAGCTGGATGAAAAGCCCCCGACAGTTCCTCATTTTCACAGTCTCAGCTCTGTGCAGTAACACACCTCCATGTTTGACCTGATACTTGAGCACTCGCGGTCCAGAAATGGAAGTTATTGAAAGGAATCGGGGAACTATCTAAAAATCAATTTTCTAAACTTCTCTACAATACAGATACTCTGGCAGAAGAACACAAAAGAGGAAGAAGAAGATGAGAAAAGGTAGAAATGGTTGCCTCTGATGCACTGCCTGGCCCTCAAAAAGGACAAAAAAGTAAAGAGGGAAAGAAGATGGGTATTGAACAGAGGAAAAATCTAAAAATAAATAGGCTTCACTACTTGTGTAAACCTGGATCTATAATTGGAAAAAGTGTTCTAAATTTAATACTTGTGATGCCACATGACTATTTTCATGTCACTTTGTAATCATGGGAGAGAAGTTGACAAAAAAGCAGCTGAACCAAAAATATCCATCCCACTTAGTGCTTTGTGTTCCTTGCCACACATACAGGGAGTGCAGAATTATTAGGCAAATGAGTATTTTGTCCACATCATCCTCTTCATGCATGTTGTCTTACTCCAAGCTGTATAGGCTCGAAAGCCTACTACCAATTAAGCATATTAGGTGATGTGCATCTCTGTAATGAGAAGGGGTGTGGTCTAATGACATCAACACCCTATATCAGGTGTGCATAATTATTAGGCAACTTCCTTTCCTTTGGCAAAATGGGTCAAAAGAAGGACTTGACAGGCTCAGAAAAGTCAAAAATAGTGAGATATCTTACAGAGGGATGCAGCAGTCTCAAAATTGCAAAGCTTCTGAAGCGTGATCATCGAACAATCAAACGTTTCATTCAAAATAGTCAACAGGGTCGCAAGAAGCGTGTGGAAAAACCAAGGCGCAAAATAACTGCCCATGAACTGAGAAAAGTCAAGCGTGCAGCTGCCAAGATGTCACTTGCCACCAGTTTGGCCATATTTCAGAGCTGCAACATCACTGGAGTGCCCAAAAGCACAAGGTGTGCAATACTCAGAGACATGGCCAAGGTAAGAAAGGCTGAAAGACGACCACCACTGAACAAGACACACAAGCTGAAACGTCAAGACTGGGCCAAGAAATATCTCAAGACTGATTTTTCTAAGGTTTTATGGACTGATGAAATGAGAGTGAGTCTTGATGGGCCAGAAGGATGGGCCCGTGGCTGGATTGGTAAAGGGCAGAGAGCTCCAGTCCGACTCAGACGCCAGCAAGTGGAGTACTGGTTTGGGCTGGTATCATCAAAGATGAGCTTGTGGGGCCTTTTTGGGTTGAGGATGGAGTCAAGCTCAACTCCCAGTCCTACTGCCAGTTTCTGGAAGACACCTTCTTCAAGCAGTGGTACAGGAAGAAGTCTGCATCCTTCAAGAAAAACATGATTTTCATGCAGGACAATGCTCCATCACACGCATCCAAGTACTCCACAGCGTGGCTGGCAAGAAAGGGTATAAAAGAAGAAAAACTAATGACATGGCCTCCTTGTTCACCTGATCTGAACCCCATTGAGAAACTGTGGTCCATCATCAAATGTCAGATTTACAAGGAGGGAAAACAGTACACCTCTCTGAACAGTGTCTGGGAGGCTGTGGTTGCTGCTGCACGCAATGTTGATGGTGAACAGATCAAAACACTGACAGAATCCATGGATGGCAGGCTTTTGAGTGTCCTTGCAAAGAAAGGTGGCTATATTGGTCGCTGATTTGTTTTTGTTTTGTTTTTGAATGTCAGAAATGTATATTTGTGAATGTGGAGATGTTATATTGGTTTCACTGGTAAAAATAAATAATTGAAATGGGTATATATTTGTTTTTTGCTAAGTTGCCTAATAATTATGCACAGTAATAGTCACCTGCACACACAGATATCCCCCTAAAATAGCTAAAACTAAAAACAAACTAAAAACTACACAGCAAATTCAAAAGTGTTAAATTTTTTGGTGTTAATAGTCTCCTTGCAAAGTAGAGTTAATTTTACTCTAAGCAGAGTCACATTCTTTTAATGTAACTCTGAGGTGTAAAGTCAAAGTCAAAGTCAAAGTCAACTTTATTTGTCGATTCTGCCACATGTACAGGACATACAGAGAATAGAAATTGCGTTACTCTCAATCCCTAGATAAATAGCAAATGAACATTTAAATATATTTAAATATAAAAGTGATTAAAAATGCAAGTAAAATAATTAAAAAGTAAAAATTTAAATAAATACAATTTTACATATAACAAGAAAGCTATACAATATACAATATAATGGGTAAGTGACATTGAGTGTAAACCAGGCAGAGTAGTGCAAATAGGCAAATAGTGCAAATGGAGATTTAGTAGTGTACGGTAAGAGAAAGTGTAACAACAAAGTCTTATGAGGTAATGGCAGTCCAGTGCTCCACAAAGTGACTGGTAACTGGTGCAGGCCAGTGAGTGAGTCAGAGAGTGTGTGTGTTTGTGTGTGTGTGACAGAGTTCAGTGAGACCGTGGAGGAGAGAGGGGAGAGGGGGCAGAATCGGGAGGGAGTTAAGCTTCCTGACAGCCTGATGGATGAAGCTGTCCTTCAGCCTGCTGGTCCTGGCCTGGAGACTCCGCAGTCTCCTCCCCGACGGCAGCAGCTTGAAGAAGCTTTGCATTGGGTGCGTGGGATCAGCCGCTATGCAAAGGGCTTTTTTAGTGAGACGGGTGCTGTAAATGTCCTGGAGGGAGGGGAGAGAGACACCAATGATCCTCTCTGCAGCTCTCACTATGCGTTGGAGGGTTCTATGACAGGACGCATTGCAGGCTCCAAACCACACAGTGATGCAGCTCGTCAGGATGCTCTCGATGGTGCCTCTGTAGAAAGTGTACATGATGGGGGCTGGTGCTCCTGCTCTTCTTAGTTTGCGGAGAAAGAAGAGACGCTGCTGTGATTTCTTGGCCAGTGCTGTGGTGTTGTACGTCCAGGAGAGATCCTCTGTGATGTGCACACCCAAGAACTTGGTGCTGCTCACTCTCTCCACAGACGCTCCGTCAATGGTCAGAGGAGCATGTTGGGTGTGCATTCTCCTGAAGTCCACAACAATCTCCTTCGTCTTCTCCACATTCAGAGAGAGATTGTTGTCAGCACACCACGTGGCCAGGTGTCTCACCTCACTTCTGTAGTCGGTCTCATCCCTGTTGCTAATGAGACCCACCACCGTTGTGTCATCCGCAAACTTGATGAAGAGGTTGGAGCTGTATGATGGAGTGCAGTCATGGGTCAGCAGAGTGAAGAGGAGGGGGCTCAGCACACATCCCTGCGGGGCCCCCGTGTTTAAAATGATGGTGCTGGATGTATTACTGCCAACCCGTACTGCTTGAGGTCTTCCGGTGAGGAAATCCAACAGCCAGTTGCACAGTGAGGTGTTGAGCCCCAGCTGGACCAGTTTTTGAATGAGCTGTTGGGGGATTATGGTGTTGAATGCTGAACTGAAATCTATGAACAGCATTCGAACATATGAGTCATTTTTGTCCAGGTGTGTGAGTGCCGAGTGGAGTGCAGTGGAGATGGCATCATCGGTTGAGCGGTTGGGCCGATACGCAAACTGGAAGGGATCCAGG